CCGCAAAAAAAATTGGTTGAGGGACTTCATGAAGGTTACCAACCATTATTTCAATCCTCAATTAAGCACTAAGACAATTATTTCCAATTGGGAATTATTGTTTAAAATACGCTTTTTTCTATGAGCAAAAATTATTTAGTAGATTTTTGTATCGAACGAATCGCCTGAAAACTTTCTTCATCTCCACCAATGATTTTATGGTGGTTGTCGTTGAAACGCCACCACACAAAATAACGAATCCATTCCGAACACACAATTCAAGGGTAGTCGATTCATCAGCAGAATTAGGGGTTGACTAGTGGTACAGTTGACGGGAAATTTCATAAATATTGTCGACCCTCTGTCACGGGGTCCGATTCTTTGTTTCGGCTCCTTTGTGCCCATTGGAAAGTTTAGTGGGTATAAAATTTTAGCTCTTTTAAGCCCGTGTTTAAACGATAAACGCTTTGCTCTCAAAGGGCTAAAAATGCTTGGAAAGGCCGAAAGTCTAGTACAATAGTTAAATGCAGCTTTACACGTACTAAACATGGTGTTTATTTCAAATATAAAACTGTTTAAATTTTGTGTACATGCTGTGTTATTTAAACGACAATTTGTTTCAATAAATTGTTTCTTTTTATTTAGATGTATTAATTGCTTTTGTTTGAAATACTTCAGCTAAAGCTATAAATCAGCTTAAGTTGATTAGAATTTAGACTTGAGTTCGCACCTGAATGATAGAGAAAATCCGCCAATTTTCGACAATTTTTAATTTATTTTTATATTTCTACACAGTTGATTTTATGAAAAAATCTAACAAATAAACTTTATAAATTGTTAATACAAAAAAATTATAATGTCAATAATTAACGGCAAACAAAAAGTTATGGTCATTTATTTTTATTTGGGCCGTTATAGAGATTTTACAACATTTCGGTAAATACAAGTAAGAGGAGTCTTGGTCCAATTTTTTATCTTTATCAGCCCAATCAAAACGGAAAAATATCTGCATTTTTTGCACTTTTGTTAGAATATGTAAAGCCTACTACATAAAAATATATTCAATGAGTTAGGTAGGAATACAACATTTTCAATTATAAAATAATCAACATTTTTGTATTTCCAAAAACTTAAAATTTAACCATTAATCAGAAAATTCTACGGAAATCAAATAGCAAGTTATCAAATCAAAGTTACTATTACCTTTTAATTGGTGGTGGTGTCGTTTGAGTGCATCCGCAATTTTTTGTTTTTTCTTGTTTTACTTTAAGAACCACTTTAAATCAAGCAGTTTTAGCAAAAAAAACCTGGATGGTCCGTGAATTAAGTTAAAATACGCTCAAAGTTTGAGGAACATCATCATTTTCAGGCTAAATTTCGAGCGACGTTGCCAAACTATGTAAAACGTTTTAGCTTAATGAAAATTGTTTCTTTGGATACCTAGCATGTGGATGGAAAGCATATTATAATATAGCATGGAAAGTGCTTAATTTGAAGTATTCTTTAAGGTAAAAGAGAAAAACTAAAAATTCTCACGATCACCCAAGACAATTGCTGCAAAATCAAGACCAAGATCGAGAATAAGGAAGTCTTTGTCTTGGCGTTGCTTTACTCATCACCACAAAATATTATCATTCGTTGGCCAAGTTGTTAATAAAAAATGCGAACGTATATTTTATCATATTTTGTTACTTTTTCCTTTTAGTTTACTTTTCTCTCTGTTTCACAATTTAATTTTTTTTTTATTCTTTTAGCTTGGACATCTTATTTTCCACTGCCTGCTAAAAGTCAAAAAACCATTTTCAAACTATTGTCTGATCTTCAAACGAATTCAAAAGGATTCAACGATTAATCCAAAAAATTAAGAAGTTTTCGAAAATTTGATGTGGTTGGTTCTGATTGGCATCTGATCTAACTGAAATATAAACATCAAACCGTTGCCATTTCAACGAGCTCGTTTAACATTAGCAATAAACAGGTACAAATCCGGATATACAAAACCTCTGCACGATGAACGTTCACTTGACTTTAATGTGACTACCTGACCTAAAACCTTAGGCTACCCTAAGTACTTCCTTTCCAGGAGCACCCTAATCCGTTAAGCCAAACAAAGAGTGGAAAAACGCAGAGAAATAATCGAATGGTTAACGCAACACAAAAAGAACAAAGTTTTCTGTATAGGGTTTTTTTCGTTTTTCGTTCCAAATTACCAACCACTGTTACCAGAAGTACGTTCGATTACCATACATACAGGGTGTCCCTATAAAGAAACTGGTCTATTTTGGATAAAAACTGTGTTTTGTCTATGACATGCATTCGTATCTCTCATAATAAGAGAAGGAGAGAGCAATGTAATTTCAAGTAGGCCAGGCCAAAGAATCTGCAGGAGTTGAAAGAGACAATTCGACAAAAAGTGCGTGCCATAACTGCGGAAATGGTTGAAAACGTACAAGAAAAGTTAATTGATTGCCCTGGATGCTGTTCGTTTTCCAATCATTTGAACTGAACATTTAGTTTGATTGTTGTTTGTTGAAATAAATCTGTACTTCTCAGGACAACATACGTTCAAAAGAAACTGTCGCTATTAGTTATTAGAGAGTTATTGGACGGTCAATAAGGACATGCAGTAATAAAGTTTGTGGTGTTTTGACACATACGCCTGCGCAATTGAGTCTAAAAATAAAGGACCCCTTAATAAGGATACTGTTCTATGCTATTTGTGCAGCAATACTGTAAGCTTTATTTCTACCTTATACTGGCAGTTGACATTTCTAACGTCCGCTTGCAGGTTAACTCCAAAGATCACTAACCTCTGTGATCTGCGGCTACTGTGGATACTGAAAGCAGTGAACTAGGCATTCGTAGGGACGATAATATACCGAGAAAGTATCGATACTTACTCAAATGAGTAGTAACCAAATCGTCTTGCAATACTGCTCATATCAGTATTCTGAAAGTATCGATACCATTACCTGCTCACAATTTTGTTGACTGACTCGATATTGAGTGACTACGTATAATCGTCATAAACACATTTTAAGTATACATTTTCGATGAGTTTTTCAAGACCGAAATTAACGGTTACCGTGAATTTTAACTGTAAAAAAGCCGTTTAAATTAGGGATTGTAATAAAATTCATGGAATATATTTTAATGCATTTATTGCCATAAGGTAAACAAAAAATATTCTTTCTGAAGGTTTCCCAAAAAAACAGTTGCTGCAAATATTTACTGGACAAGCTTTTTCTATTATGCGTCATAGCAGCACCAGCTTTAGGAAATAGATATTCACTTATAAAAGTTAGGAAATACCGTTTGCATGTCTCCCAATGGGTCACTTCAAAGATATTCAGTTCCATATTGTTTTGATATCGGCAATAGGTTTTAAAACTGACTATTCAGAACCATTAATACGTATCTTTTTAATTCAATGCACAATTTCACGAACCTTAGATATAGCTATTTTCACACTTGGTCATTTTAACGCCTCTTCGACAATGTGATTTATTGTGTTAGCCAAACAGGGCAAATATTTCATTGAGCGAATAGCTAGACAGAGCATATGCATTTTACTATTTTGAAGAAAATAACATGTCACACCTAAGAAACGTCGCTCGTTCATTGTTTCAGTCCAAATGACCAATTTGAGACAAATATTTTTAATCTTTGACAAAATTTAGCTTTAGCTATAGCTACACAAGCTTCATATTTTTTGCGTATCTTTTTTAAATAAGCTGCACTAAGAAGGTACCTCAAAATTAGGTTGAAGCACGTTCAGAAGGCGTAAAAATCCTTCTCCTTCCACGATGTAGGAAGCCAATAATTGCATCAAAAAACGCTAAAGCCTGCACTATTTTGTTGTATTTTGAACCACCCTCTAAAATAGATGTATCTATTATATTCAATAAAGAAAAAGTACTAGAAATAATGTATTTTCCTTATTGGAGAAACTTGTAAAAATGCGTCTTCTAAAGCCCTTTGTGGAGGTATGTTACTATTCGTACTAGCATCAAAAAACTTTTTCATGCCAACATGTTTTCTAATTTAGAACCGCTAGATGTTGATGACTGTGAGATATCCAACTCAAGTTCTTCAATAGACTTCACAAAATATCCTATATCTTCATAAATATATGTTCTGTGACTTTGGGCAGTGTTTACACTTTTGATAATTCGATTCGATACGAGTACTTTATTTTGATACCAAGTATTGATATCGAAAGAACGATTCAATTACCAAAGTACTCGGTATCCGAACAAAAGTATCGAATACCTACTTGTATTTACTTGTATCGAATCATCCCTAGGCATTCGTTAGAGAAATAACGCAAATGCAGTATTAAAATAAGGATTAACCTTATTACTGCACTACAGTATTTAAGATTTCCAATAACTCTCTATTGATATGGTCCAATCGTAAAATTATCGTCAACTTTTTCCTGTAGGTACTCTGTAAACTGTTTCATATTCAGTTTCAAATCGTCTTGTAAATGACATCTGAACATTTTAATATCATAGTTGAGCAAATAAGTCTTCAGCTTTTGCAATTGTTACTATTGGTACTATCCGGTCTGTTTAGCTCGCTGATGCTGACCTGTCGCAATAATACGCTAGTAATCGCTAATCACAGATTATAATTCCTACAAAAAATTGCAAAACTTTCTTGAAATTTTCAGCCAATAAACAGCACCTGAAGTCTGCTTTATATAATGTCGTTTTTTGTCAAAAACTTATGCCATTCCTTTAAAGACGGATAGCTTTCACGCCTCACCGGCCACTGCTGAGTCGAATTTATTGGTACATAGACCTCCCCCTCACATTCTGTTACTTCCGCTAGGACTTTTCACCGCGAAGTTGTGGCAACGTGGCGAGCTTCAACCGATATTGTGGCCACATCGTGCCTAGCGGAGAAAAGCCATCAACTGGGGTCGGTATTCCCCTAGCTTTTCTCCCACTCCTTCTGAATATTGGCTTACGCGCAGGCAAAAACACATCACCTATTCCCTCTCAAAATCATCGCTCGAACTCTCCAAGTCCCAAGTAAACTCAGTACGGCGATGCGCTTTGTTCACGTCGGTAGCAAGTAGAAAGGTGGAACGGTGGTAACATTGGATTAGAATCAAACCTGTCAAGGAACTACTCATGTGTTTTTCAACTAAAAGTTTCGCTTGTCGCTATCGGAAGCCTTTATGAAATCCGTGAGTGATCGAATGACGGATAAACAGTCGTGGCGCGAAAAATTTGAATTTCAAACGTCGCGTTCTCAGTGTCAAAGTGTGAAGAAAGTAAACTGCATGGAAACTTGACTTTTTGAGTAGGATTGTCAAAATCGACTCATACGCAAGGAGCTTCCTACTGGACTATAAAAATCCCGTCGATTTTTTTTATTTTTTTTTGTTTTGTGCTGCACCTGGAACATTGATAGCTTCGGAGTCAAAACGAACTTTTTCTTTATGTTTTCGCTCAAATGCTGGGATATACTCCCTATAGGTAATACTGCTTGTAGAAACGTAACATTGAATTTTTGGTAGAACCACGTTTTTTGAATATTTACTAAAAATCTCCCCACTGCATAACTAACAGAAGAATTGGTTTCACCTTGCTTAGAATACCGCGTGGTATTAATAATACTTCTGGAATAAAAAAAATATATTGTTGACTTAGAAACTTGCTCATGACTCCTTAATATTTTAGCAACAGGCTTTTACATCTTAATCCAAAAGGTTGGACTGAGAAAATAATCAAACCGCGATCAACATATCTGAAGGAATTGTGACGGTGTGTGTTAACTCATCAGACAATTAGGGCAAGCTGAACGCTCTGAATGGATTAAAGTGATTTTGCCCTATGAACTCAAAGGAGCGACAGTGAATTAATTAGGAACAAAGTGCAAACATTTCAAGGAGTTCTGTTAATACTTTTATCATTCTTAATTACTGAACAGACATGAGTGATTCGAATAATGGAATATACGTACTGTGATCCTTAGAAACGTTCAAGTGTTAGTGGACAACAAGCAATAAGTGCGAATATAGTGACTTTAATTGAAAAACACTTGAATAACTTGACAAACAGTGATACCTACTTGAACTTCAAATAAAGTGTTACAAGTGACTGATGCCAAGGATAAGAGCCTACCACCCATCTGAACCCAACCCTTTGGATTAGAGATTTTCTGCCGATATTGCAGGCAAATATTTGTCTCGTAGAGATTAGGACTTTAGAACTCACTTTAATAAGCTTTCGAACACCAATCGTCTGATTGCATCTTATCTGTTTCACGATCAGACCAACTCCCTTAACCGCTAAAGTACGTGTCTGAGAATGAATCAAACTGTTGACTTGAGCAAATACATCTGTTTAAAGATCGCGGACACAGGTTATTCACATTAAGCTGCAAAATTAATAACATTCGTAATCTTTGCTGTTTTGCTGCAGCACGTTGAGGTCAATATCCTCTCGTGGAAACTGGTAAAGTCGAAGACTTTTTTGAACCTATAAAGTTTTAAAACCCCAATGGCTTAGGTGCAATGAATAGGAAGTTTCCTTTGAATTTGAATGAACATTAAGTGCGTCTTCAGCTCATCACCTGACTCAACTTCAATCTTTTTTTTTTCAAGACTTACATAGCTTATTTTGATTGGGAAATTTCTAGTATTTTTCAATTTGGAAACGATCCAGACCAGTATTTTGATTTCCACATGTATTCAAATCGAATGTAAATCTACCAATGCATCGCAGTTAAAGTGTAAACCACCGTTTAAATTACCGTACTAACATTGCCAGTGAAGCGTGTAGGTTTTAATGTTGACCAAACCACTTAGCAACAATAATATCCGCGGTAGCAAAATCGACAATTTTATCCATTCATAAAAATTCATCAGATGAGACGTTTAAAAATATTCATCCCTGGCAGAAGAACTGCTCATTCTGATGGTGCTTAATGTGAAAACCTTTTTTGAGTACTTTTTATTTGTGACTTGAAAAAATCCTGACTGGACTTACCGCTGAAGTTAATTTAAATGGTACCTACTCAAATCAGGTCGTTGCTATCCTGATCGAAAATGTTTAGTTCCAAGAACTCCTAGAACCCGAAGAAAGAAACGAAAAACTACTTAACTATTACTGAAGTCAAATAGTTAATACGTTCAGATCAAAAACGACCTGTCCAATAGTCGTGGTAAAAAACGGATTCATCATTGTTTGGCTAATTAAAAATTGACAAATTAATTAAGTAGGTACTGGTGCTGCGAGTCGACTAAATTAAGCAACCGTTCATGCGATAGCAAATTGCTTTACTCGCTATTTATACACATTTTGGATCATTCGCAATGTTGCCAACGAGATGGCAATATCCGTAAATAGTCGTATTCTTTCGCTAAACGCTTGAAATACATTCAAGTCGAGACAAACAGCCACCAGCTAATAATAGATAATCAAATCTGGATTTATATACAGCTTCAAGTAAATCGGGCAAAGTATAAGCACAAATGCTACCAAAAATAATTTTCAAATTTTCTAATAATAAATTGTATCTGATGTCTGAGATTTGTTTCCTGGTTGCAAGTAGGTTTTCAGACACCATCCCAATTTCCCGGAAACATAATAATCTCCAAACTAATGTACACAAATTAATAAGTGGTTTTCAAAAGCAACTTCAAAGCTCGCTAAATTAATTTGCTTCCTGCAAACTATTAAAAAAATGTGCATAAGTCATGTGTCCGAAATAGCTTAACAGGCGTTAAAACTGGACCAAGCCATAAGTATTTATAGTGTTAAGTTCATTAGTAACTTCATGGGATTAAAGTACACGATGAGGCGAAATTTGAACATGCTCGGTTTTGTTTGCCTCAAATTTTTTTTAGTCAAACTACCACACAGATTATTTACAATATTATTTTAAAATATACTTAATATTGCACACAATTATTCTCTAACATTTTTTGTCCTCGTATTCGTTTTACTTTTAGTGAGTTTCTATTCTGTTCTGTCTTTTGCATGAACATTTGACCACTTTTTTGCCTATAAAGTTTCTTTCGTAAATGTAGATCGTTCGTTAGATGTTTAAATTTATTAAATAATAGTAAATTAGTTAAATTCAGTCGATAACAATGTAAATAACTGTTTCGTACACACAGTGTTATCAATCGAACCTTAGAAATTGGCAAAGTTCCAACTCAAGTTCCATTTTCTCAGTAGAACGTTGCATTAATTTGGGTGTGTGATTAATACTCACCAGTGTACCTTGATTTCTTTCACTTTCAGAACAGCCGAAACAGAAAAACGTCAAAAATTTTGCAATTATTAAATACTTCTTTCTGCTTAATACAATTTTCATTGGGTAGTATGAAAAAGTTGCCAAGTTGCAAAGCTTGAAAGTAATCTAGATATAGAAATCTAGCCTGCCATATACAAAACATCGATAAATATGTACATTTTTAGGTCAATTTTCTGTATTTTCTATATATTAATCTTCGCAACTGCTGTCCCTATCGGCAATACTTAAGATACGAAAACTAATAAATTCATACAACAAAAATTCTTAACGCTTAAGACTGTACTGAGAAATTTGTCAACGTTGGCTCTACATATGATATACGTCACAGCTTGGGGAACCGAGAGGGGTGGCTTTCGCGCGAGTTTCACAACAATAAATTAAATTTTTAGGAACATTTCGAACCAAATAATTCAAAAAAAATTCACAAAAATGAACTCGAAAAGGGCCCATATTAATTCAACTAAATGTACGAAAAAGTGTACAAGCCATTGTGTCCTTTAAAGTGTAAGGCAACTATTCGAAAGTCTTCAGCTCGAGCCCCCCGGCACATATTAACTGCATTTTCTAGTTGTGTAACATTATAAACCTTTGAGAAGCATTTGTAGGCACATCAGATGAAATCTGGAAATATGTTTGGATGTTTTGCGGAAATTTTAAACTAGTTATTTTTGCAGAGATTGGCCGCAGGGTGGTCTCAACACCCCGCAGCAACTTTCCGTCGTGACCACCGTGTGGGGGGGAGTCACCACGCCCACGCAGTCGGGCCCCCACGGGGCATACGCAGGATCAGGGGGCCCGATACAGCAGCAAGGACCGTACCTTAAGGGGCAACCGAATGCTGGCTACGGAACGCAAGCGAATTTCAGGGGCCATGGGTAAGTGAAAAAACATAATTTTAAAAAGTTTAGCTAACATTGAACATTGAAGGCGAATTTGAGCCAAAACGGTTTTTTTTACCTTGAATGCCTAACCTACAGGGCACAAGGTTAAAAATTAAAGTTTGCAGTTTTGGATCGACCTGGCTTATATTGAGTGAAAGTTGCCCCCTGGAAGAATAATACATTTTTGAAAAAAGTGGTGTTTTCTCCATTTTCAACCGAAATTGTTCAAATATTCTCTTAATCTCCTAACCAAGACTAGTCCCATACCGCACAATTTTTTCCATAGATCCTTTCAGTTAGTAGGCAATTTTGATCAGTTGAAACTAAAAATATTCATAAACAACTATTCATCCTAACCATTCATCAAGATAATTATAAAGACACGCTTTAAATTATGTGGTACTAGCTTTGAAAAAACATAATTGAATTGAAGCAAATCGAACGTACATTGTAATAGTAAAAGTTACTTTTCCAAGACAGGCAAAACAAGATTTTCTATCCAAAATTGGTGTTTAACAGGCAAATCACCCCAATGAGCAACCTTGTAAAATATCACAGCTCAAAGGTCTTTTCACACAATCGAAAACTACCTAGGTGCCCCGAAAGCTAGGTAAATCTCAGGCATTTAGTTCTGGCTTTTAAATTTTCCCATGGCCCATTTGTTGGCCAGCCTATCGAACCATATGGTAAATATTTATCCTTTTTGGTTTCATAAGTGGTCTCTTGAGGATTGGCATTGCTTGAAGTTCGTTTGTACAGAAGCATATTTCTTTACCACTCGTATTCGATCAGAAAAATCAAACATTTCTTTCAAAACCAAATAATTTATTATCTAAAGATTTAAGTCTGCACTGATATCTCGACAAAATCCCCTTGTACCAGAAGTCTTACAATGTTACCGTTCAGTTGCGTGTTTAATACGTTCAATAAAATTAGTCCACATTAACTACCGATATTGTACGATAAGCGCTATTGTCACGCTTTTTGGGATTATTTATCTAAGATTCCTGTCCTCAATCACGTCGCAAACGCTGTGAACTATCATTTTATTTTCTGTTTTTTTTTTGTTTCTAATTCGCTTGTCACCAACAGTTTTTCTTTGTGTTTATTATTATACATTTCATCTGCTCTCACAAAACGGACTGTATTCTATCAACTTAGCCCTCAGTGATCGATAACAACAAACCGAAAATCTCACCCTATAATAAAAGGTCCATATTCTGTATGCCCTTTTACTCCCTACATTGTAGCTCCCTATATGCGTTGACAATTGACGATCGCCCTCCAAAATCAATTGTGTAGCCGTGCTTTACCCACCGGTTTAAGCAAATGAAAAAGAGAACTTTTTCTCATACTGTTTTACCCTACGAGTTTTTTGAATAAAAATTATTTGCTCCCATATATTGTTCGATTGACGAGAACAGATTTTTAGAGGGTCCTAGTGGTTCAAATCATAAGCGTTATAAAATAGTTCAAAACATTTAGTTCTAATTAGCAGCTAGCAGTTCTCCAAATTCCTCCGGACAAATCGGTTCTCAGCCTTGCAAGTCTCAGTCGGTTTGTAGGGCCTTTATTTTATCGAATTTCTTTGTATTTGCTGGTTTCGAACGTTCCAAGGTTGTGCTTCTTTGTGTGGTCTTCCGATGTAGTTCTCTACACATGTCGGTAGCCACTTTTAGCAAAATTCGGTCGAGCTATGAAAGAATCTTCGGCGGTATTCGGAATGGAAGAGAAATGTCACTAAGATTTATTTTCACGTAATTTGCAGAACAATAGTAGTCCATCTTCAGTGAATCTTCAGGCAAAACCGCCAACTAGAAATTTTCCTTCAGATTTAATCGGTTGTATTTGTCAAATCCACGTTATTCGAAGGAAAAGCATTCAACCTAGTCAATGATAAATGTCTGGGTTTGTATGTGTGTGATCTTTGGCAAGGTTTTTCATTTTTCTCAACAACGCGCTTAACGAACACTTTTCAAGGACAATAGTTTTTCGACGGGCTAATAATAAATAAAAAAACCAATACACCCAAAGTTTGGCCGTCTCAAAGATTAACTCCYGACAAAGTGGCTTAAAAATAATCTGTATTCGATCCCAGATTTCTTYGCCTTTGGTAATTCTCTTACAACAGAATACTGACACATGWACAAAAGACCATCTTTAGAGTCGTATTGCATAGGGCTTCACTTCGAAAAGAGCGACTACTAGCCAGAAACARCAAAYCCTGGTGACTTYGTTAATKATCATACTCATCTATCTTTTAAAAATTTTGGTGCCAACATATTGTGATTAAACATCGCTTCAACTTCTTCCAGCAAACCAATATTTAATAGGATATTTTGAAAAAATCAACAGACTAAATTCGAATAAACATCACATCTTAAAATGCCTAACTGTACATCTAGAGGAAAAGCGAAGAGCAGCTGGGTCCAATTTGAAAGGCTCAACTTGCGCACGTGTTTTTCGAAACATCTTGCTTTCTTAACGTGAATCAAAAGCATCCGAATGCCTACCTAGGTTTCTAAGAAACGACCATTCCAACCCCCGTTTAGTGGTAAATTCCACACGTCTGTTCCGAAACATCTTCCGCCCGAGCACTCAATACAGTTCGAGTTTCTGTGAGCCGAAGAAGGACAAATGCTTGAAAGGCCGGCGACGAAAGCTACAGTGATATAGAGCCGAATCAGTGGGGGTTAAGTACAAACCACCCTGTGTCAAAATACATGTCTTTGTGATCGGTGCCGAGTGATTCCGCGAAGAAAAATTGCCAGTGAGTTTAACATGTAAAAACCATTGTCTGCTGTGCACAGGAAATGTTTCACATTAAATGATGCTCACCCAAAGGGTGTTCAGTTCGGGTCTTATGGGAAACCTAAGGAAGTTTTGACTCAGTTAAATAGTTTCTATATTTTAATATTTTAAATCTGCTGGTTAGAACGGTACTTAATGGTATTACGGGATAAGGGGAAATATGACCCTCCAGAGGGGGCGAATATGCACAGCATAGAGAGGGTAGAGTCATATACATATGTATAAAGTGATCAAATACATTGATTCTAAGTTAGGGTGATATTGTTGGCACATATGGACTAGTACGCGATTGTCCAAACTTTGAACTAAACATGTTTTTGTTTGAAAGCAGCTGAAACACCGACAATTTTTTCAAAATCAAGATTTAAGACGAATTTACCTAAAATCTAGGATAATTAATAGGAAGGTCTGTAACTGGCTGCTTAGAAATAGCAGCTATCGACCAATTTGAAGAAAAATGCACCTGGCCTGGCCACCTTGAAACCGAAGGATTCACACCCGAAATTTCACGCAATGAATACAATAGAAAGCAAATTCCCAGAAGAACTGTGTTTCCTGATAGGGCTAATTGTTGTGATCTGTCCTGACAAAATAGATCTGCGCAGCATGGTCAACTTGACGACTTTATTACCTGTGTGGGCATTGTTAGTCGGCCAATTGAGTCAGAACTTTCTTACTTTTCCCAATGTCTTATTGCCCAGGAAGTGGATGCGGTTTAAACTTCAGTACCTATCTAGCAATTCATTCCAA